CCCCAAAACCCCAAAATCCCAAAACCCCAAAACCCCAAAACCCCAAAACCCCAAAACCCCAATAATATATAGCATCTCTGATTAATTTTTTTTAATAATATTTAAGTTTTCATTGATATGGAGAGCAATAAATCAATATTTATATGTGATTTTAAGAAGTGAGAGAAGATCTTCACTACAAAATACTCCTTAATAAGGCACACACAGACTCACCTGAAGAAAAAGAACTTCAAATGCAAACAGTGCTCTAAGACTTTTAATATAAAGCAAAATTTAATTGAGCATGAATTTGTTCATACAGGTGAACAACCTTATTTTTGAAATATTGATGGGTGCACTCAAAGGTTCCGCCAAAGAGGAAAACTATCACTCCACCGTCAATCACATAAAAACTACAAAAAGAAAACATATAGGTCTCACACCTGCATCAACGATGGAAATCTGAGTAGGAGGTCTCAAGTACCACAAACCATCATCACTCAAGTCCCTCCTACCGCACTCCAATCTCTACCACCTCAGACCCCAATGCCGAACCTCTCAGCCCAAAACGCTAACCTGTACATGCTGAACAATCAATTTAATAAACTGAGGCAGCTTAATTGAGGTCAACCTCTTTTATCCTTATCCCAAAATCTGCCTGCGACAACCTACAGCTTTACAGCATCTGTGAACCCTGCTGCTGGTGCAGCCGGATTTTACGGTAACAGAATCACTCAAAGATTGCCTCAGGCAAACTTGACCCAAGGGATGAATAGAGTGATGCTTCAGCACCAGAATTTTAGAACAAATTTCCACTAATTCTGAGAAGGGGCTCCTTCTCAGCAATATTTGCTAATTTATTACTACAAATAGTTAGAACAAGTCTGGCTTCTGGGAAATAGCTCCAGCTTCAGGGTTTAGTTACGCATCGCTAAGCTTAGGAAGATCTCTTGGAACATATAATAATAATATTTCCTATCACAATAATATAGGTTTCAACTAGATTTAGTGAAATAGGGGTTTTGGGGTTTTGGGGTTTTGGGGTTTTGGGGTTTTGGGG